GACTATTCCAGGTACCTCATATAAGTCAAATCCTATAATATTTGTCATTTTGTGACAGCTTATTTCACTTTAGCATAATATCTTCAAGGTTCATCCATGTTGTAGCATGTGTCAGAATGTCCCCACTTTTTAAGGCCAAATATTCCATTGTATGTATATATCATATTTTGTTTAGCCATTCATCTGACGATGGACACTTAGGTTGTTTCCACCTTTTGGCTATTTCAAATAGTGCTGCTATGAACACTGATGTGAATGAATCTATTTGAGTCTCTGCTTTCAATTCTTTTGAGGATATATCTAGAGATGGAATTACTGGATTATGTGGTAATTCTTTGTTTAAATTTTTAAGAAACTGCAATACAGTTTTTCACAAAAGCTGCACCTTTTTATATTTCCACTAGCAATGAAATGCACAAGGGTTCCAACTTTTCCACATCCTGGCCAACACCTGGTATTTTCTCTTTTTGTCTGTTTTGTTTTGTTTTTATAATAGCCATCTTAATGGATGTGAAGTAGTATCTTATTGCGATTTTGGTTTGCATTTCCCTAATGATTAGTGATGTTGGGCACCTTTTCTTGTGCTTATTGGCCACTTGTATATTTTCTTTGGAGAAATGTCTATTCAAGTTCTTTGCTCATTTTTTTAAATTGGGTTGTTTGTTTTCTTTTATTACTTTGAGATAAAAACAAAGCATTAATGTTAAAAGCAAGATTTAAATGCCAACAGGAAAGTTTCAGATTCAAAACAGGAACCCTTGGTAAGACCCTTAGATGGTTTCTTAAATGGAAGGCAGGGCACAATTTCTGTATTACCACAAACTATTGTTGAAGTCCCAGGCATTGCTCATACAAAAGTGTGTTACACCCTTATCGCAACGAAGTCTATCCATTTCTTTGCAAAGTCTCACTACCTTTCTAATACTCTTGTCCTGGAGGGTAGGAAAAGTTGGCCGATTTTTGTTTTGGGTTTTTTTTTCCCCCAAGCTTCCTGAGACACAGTCCTAAATTGCTCCCTGAGGTACAGCATTTCCAACAAGCTAACTGAATCCTTCTGGGGAAATCCATTTCTACCAGCTCCTAATCTATTTCCACGGCCAGCTCTGCTCATCACCTGTGTATCAAAGGAGAGCCTTCAACCACAATTGGATTGAAATGTTACACAGGGTGGCTGATGGGAGTGGTGGCTCAATGGGACATCAAACCTGCATTTGGGAACAACTACCCTCCAGACTCCTCTGCGGGCTCAGACAGAAGTGCACATTTTACCGTCTGGGCACCACATCTTCTTAAATTCCTCCAAAGCCCCCCAACTTTTTTCTTCTAAGAAACTATAGCTAATATTCTCAATAAACCAATAAACAATTGAGATGGTGCAGAACAGAGGATGAGAGTAGACTGTGGAGCCAGACTCCCTGGGTCTCTGTCCCAACTCAGCTACTTGCTCCTTGAATCACCCTGACAAATCCTCTAAGCTCTCTGTACCTCAGTTTCCTCATCTGTAAAATGTACCCCCTTGAGTTCCAATGAGGATTCATTTAAATACTTGGAAAGTGCTTCCAACAATACCTAGCATATGGTGAGTACTGTGCAAATCTAAAGCTCTTTGAGATGATTACCATCACAGCACTGAGTACCCAAAAGGATGCTTACCCAACTCTAACCAATGATGTCCTCTGATGAGTAGGATTTAGGAAGGGAGGTTGATGTGAGGATTTTAATTTCTAACTCATGCACCTCTGTAGTGGTTGAACTTATTAAATTTTATTACATGCAAAATAAGGAAAACACTTTTAAAAAATGGCATCTGGCTAAGAGCATATAAAACAATCTCTCTGAACTTCCCACTGAAATATCAAAGAAAACACAAAGATTAGGAAAAAAAATCCTACCCAAACATTTAAAACTAATGTTTCCAATCTAAGGCTTGAAATCTAAATGAATTTTCTGTACCTACAAGACCAATAGAAGCTAATACCCCAGGAAAAAAGGCATCACTGATCCATCTTGCTCCCCTCACCAACGGATAGCTATTAAGAACTTTTCTTCAGCCCACAGAAACTAAAATTTGAGGTCAATATCAATCAGGAAATAGAGTAGCAGTCCCCTCTACTTCACAATGAGCTTGTTTGTTTTGAAGCAAGCAACCAGTTGCTGCCACCCTTTCCCCATCAGTTTCTTTCTATAGTCAGTTTTTTAAAAAACTACAACTCCCAGAAGACCCCTGGCCAGGCACGGGGCGACGGGGTAGGAGGCAGGGGGCAGGGGCAGGAGGAGGAGGTACAGGTAAGCCTGACACCAAAGCTAGGGCTTAGCCCCACCCACCATGCCCTAAAATCATTCTGGAAAAGCACCCGAAAGCTTGTTTGTTTAAGGGGCAAGGGCTCAAGAAACCTCGTCTCTGTGCTGGTCTTGAAGGAATCACTTGAAGACATTGACCAACAGGAATGAGGTAAGAAACGTATAAAAGAGCTGGCAGATGTCAGTGCTGTGGGGCCTCCACAAACATGCCAGGCAACTCAACCCTGGAATCCCGCGAGATGACGAGAATGAGGGCCTCAGCAACCACACCCCAGGGGGTGGCCCATGACCTACCGGCCAGCATGTGCAGGGGGCACAGTCTCCTTCCACGATGGCATCAGAAGGAGGTTCAAAAGGAAACGGTCACATTAAGAACTCTTATTGCTTTTATGGGAATAACTTACGGCATGTAAGAACTCTGGTTACCTCCTTACCAGTTTCAGAAGCTTCGTTAAATGTAGTTACTATAGCACTCACTATGCCAAATACATGGAGCTACAGTCATTGTCTTAAAAGAAATACATCTAAAATGGTGAGGTCACTTTGGAAAACAGTCTGGCAGTTACTCAAAGGGTTAAACAGAGTTATATGACCCAGCAATTCCACTCCCGGGTGTATACCCAAAAGAACTGAAAACATGTCCATGCTGAAACTTGTACACAAATATTTATGGCAAGATTATCCATGATAGCCAAAAAATGAAAACAATCCAAATGACCATCAGTTGAGAATGGATAAACAAAATGTGGTATATTCATACAATGGACTATTATTCAGTCATAAAAGGGAATGAAGTACTGATACGTGCTACAATGTGAATGAACCTTGAAAGCATTATGCTTAGGGAAACAAACCAGACACAAAAGGCCACATATTGTATAATTCTATTTATATGAAAAGTCCAGATTAGACAAATCCAAAGAGATAGAAAAGAGATTAACGGTTGGCAGAGGATAGGGAGAGAGGGGAATGAGAGTGACTGCTAACAAGTATGGGGTTTCTTTTTGGGGTGAGGAAAATATTCTGGAATTAGGTAATGGTGATGGCTGTGCAACCATGAGAATATACTAAAAACCACTAAATTGTGCACTTTAAATAGGTGAATCTCATGGCACGTGAATACCTCAATAAAACTGTTACAAAGAAAGAAACTTCCCCCCTCCAAATATTAATACAACAGTTTTGGGAAAGTACAGCCAGAGTGTCGATTTATATTTCTACTTTTCTGAGTTGTTTTTGTTTTTGTTTGTTTTTTTTCAAAATTTCCCCCTCTAATGTGCAGCTCTTACTTCACCAACTGAAGCTCTGGAAACAGAGACACTCTGCTGGATTCATATCCAAGCTCCTTCTGGATGAACCGGATAATCTTGGGCAAGTCAATTATTCTACATCTCAGTCTTCTCATGAAAAATTAGGAGGATAAGATGGATGAGCTCATAAGGTAGTTGTGAGAGTTTCATAAGAGAATGTTGTAAAACACTTAGACCAGAGCCTGGCATATTATTAAGTGCTCAAGAAATATCAGCTGTTGCCATTTTTGTTATTAAGTATACACGGCAGTAAAACAATACTACTGACTTTTATAGGTAGCTCTTATGTAAGCTCTGCTATAGTGCTTTATATAATTTTAAGATGTTTGGTCCTCACAAATACCTTGTGTGGTAGATACTCATGCCCATTTTACAGATAAGCATTTACTGTGGTCTGGATGAACCCTTGCCAGTGGCATGCAGTCTGTGCATTTTGTGGGAATTGAGCAGGTAAAGAGCATAGAGAGCTGAGGCAATCAGGGAGGACTCTGTGAAGACAGTGGCCCTAGAAAGAAAGGAAGGTAGGCCCTGGATAACCCACATGAGTGGGAAAGGGTGGTGAGGGCCTTGCTGGTGAAATGGAACTTACCAAACAGAGAAGTGGTAAAATACTAACATTTGTTCATTGTGGGTGACGAATACAGATTGTGTTTATTTATTTATTTTATTTTATTTTTATGGAGGTACTGGGGATTGAGCCCAGCACCTCGTCCTATGCAAGCACTTTACCATTAAGCTATATCCTCCCCTAGATAGTGTTATTTTCTGCACTTCTGCACCTTCGAAATAACTAATCAACAAAAACTTAAAATATTTAATCAACATGTTCTAAAGGAACAAAAGACTTTTTTTCCCTCAGTCTTTGACCTCCTTACGCATACATATAAGAAACAATGGCTGTTTAGAAGAATGAGTAAATGCTAGTTCTTTTTTTATTCTTTCGTAGGTAAACTTTTATGTTTTAATTCTGTTTGCCTACTTAGTCACTACGCCTTGGAGATTTTATTCTATATGGATCTACCTAACCCGTTGTTACAATTGCATAATACTCCACAGTAGGAATGTTCCATGATTTATTTTCCCATTCTCCTACGGATCACAATTTTTCCACTAGTACAAGCATTGTTCTAAAACACTGTACTGTTGTTTGAGACCCTGTACGAGTATCCTTGGACAGCCTTTTCGTGCAATGTTTCAGCGTTACTCTGAGGTAGATACCAGGAAGCGGAAATGCTGGGTCATAAATCCAATTTTTAAAACGTGAATCAGCGGGCAAATGGCAAATTTCTATACCTCCCTTTAAATTTTGCGGTGAATTTAAAACTGCCTTTAAAAAAAAAAAGTAAATCAGAGACTGGGCATTCTCGCGCCCCTACTCCGTTTGCGTACCGGGAATCCAGGCGGTTTCTCTCAGAATCTGGGCCGGGAGCGTGGAGCTCGGAGCCGCGCGACCGCGTGGGCCCAGGCCGCGCCGGGTGCAGCCTTCCGCGCCCGCTGGGAGGTGCGAGGGCCCGTTGACCTACTACCCTCTGGGCACGCGCTCTAGCCCCGCCTCCCTGCCTCTTTCATTGAGAAACCCCTTAGCGATCACGTGAAAGAGGCATGCCGGCTTCGTGACGTCACGCAGAGCGGACCAATGGGAGCTTCTGTTTATGTCGGGGGGGGGAGGTTGTCGGAATATTCACGCCCCCACCGCCGCCGCGCTGCCCCCGCAGCGCCGGTGGTGAGCGCCCAGCTAGAGCGGGAGGCGGCGTGACTGCAGCGCCGCGG